CAAAGCCGATCGCCCCGCCTACACTGCGTTGCTACCCCAGGTCCTAAACTGTAATGGAAATGCGCCACGGCCTTGGACGGCCAGCGAGGCAGCCCGAGGCCTGAGCGAGGACGCTTAGGGACGCTTAAACGGGGCTACCCCGTTGCAGTGGAAATGCGCCATACGATACTTCCTGTGTCACATGCGGAGACGGGCTGTGGGCGTGTTTGTGTTGTTTACTAACAAGACTATCATGGCAGTGGCGGAGCTCAAGTCTAGTTTCTCCACCTGGAGATATTCTCACTATTTCACTTTTATCTAGCACAAAGAAAATAACGTTTTAGTTAAATGTAAGTTGTGTCTTGGCGGGTCAAAGATCCTATCTACTGCCCAAACCAGTAATTCAAATCTCTTAAAACATCTGCAAAAACAACATGCTGGGACGAAGCTACTGTAGTAGCTAAGACCACAGAGACTCAGCCGACGCCACTCCACCTCCACCTAAGCAACAGCGGCTGGATTTTAACCAAGGGACTGCTAGCCAGGGAAAAGTCGATAAAGCCATTGCACGGTATGTTGTAGATTACATGCAGGATATTGCTACAGTGGAGTCACCCGCTTTCAGGGAGCTAGTTAGCATGATAGCATGTCCGGGCGACACACGGCATATGGGACGGAAAACTTTTTCCAACTACCTGGAGAAAGAATATACAAAATGGAAAGCCAGCTAATATCGATGAAATCCAGATTGCATATAATGCATGTCAAGTTGATCAACAGATTGTATTATTCTCCAATGCAATAACAGTACTGAAATGAAGGCTATAAGGGCATTAATGGGAGCCCCTTTTTTAAGTAACGAAAACGTTACTTTTCACAGTAACGCATCACTTTTTTTGTAAGTAACTAGTAAAGTGACTGAGTTACTTTTTGAATGAAGTAACTAGTAATGGTAACTAGTTACTGGTTTTCAGTAACTAGCACAACACTGCTCACGAGTCTAAAAAACAACTCACGTCAGGTAAGCAACGTGGGCACCAACGTGGGCACCAACGTGGGCACCAACGTGGGCACCAACGTGAGCGCCCTCGTGACCAAAATATTTGACGGCGCTGATTGGCTGAAATTATGTTTCGGCGGCACAGTTTACTATTGAGACTTTTGCAACGTGCTGGTTGCTGCTGTTTGTCTCGGGGGCTCCGCCCGGTAATGATAAACTAATGCCATGGGCAAGGCCAGGCAGGAAACATGTGACTTATCAGTTACTTTAGACATCGTAACACAATTTTAAACGAGATTTTATTGTAGATTATACATTTTACTGATACCAATTGTATGATATTTACCTTGTTCATTAAAAATAAAATATAAAATATATATATATATTTTTTAAATATATATTTTTTTATTTAAAATTTTTTTACATTTTTTTTTTTGAATGTGGGAAGAGGTGGGGCGGCGCCCCTAGCAACCCTATGGGCCGGCCGCCACTGCTTATATGATTCTGTTTTCTTCAAGTTTGTATCTTGTTGGTCGAATGCACTTATTGTAAGTCGCTTTGGATAAAAGCGTCAGCTAAATGCAATGTAATGTAGTCGGCCAGAACCAGCCATTTCCTTCTGCAGAAAGGAGACAATCTCCTCCAAGTCCGCTTCTCAAGTCACTTATGAAACTACGACTTTAATCTCGTAATTATTACTTTATTCTCGTAATGTTACGACTTTATTCTCGTAACTATGACTTTATTCTCGTATTATTTCGACTTTATTCTTGAAATCTCTGGGGGGGGTTTCTAAGTGTGGCCCTAATACTCTGTCGTAAGTTTGCAATGTCATCACAAAGGATATTCATAAATCACGATATAGACATGGTGATGTTGTTAAGCTATTAGATTTGCAAGACAACGCATTGTGATTTTTATATAAAAGTAAACATGGCAAACCAACCCAGTCTCACAAAAAAACGTGTAATAACTACTTTGGTCCACAACTTGGGACGTAGTATTTCTACAAAAACGCCTCTGAAATTGTAGGATCCCTACGTTTTTTTTCACCATTCATTTCCAATGGCTATGTCACGTGATCTTCAAATTTCTCCCTGCAGAAAAAAAAAACATGGCCAACATTCGTTTTATTCTCGGTGTAAAATGCCTATTTTAAGGTTAGTTTGGCCATTAAAATGCGTTTTTGATGTCATTTGATGCGAGAAATATGAGTTGTTATTTCAGATTATGTGTGCAGTGGATGTACATGATCTTTAGTTTGCTAGTTATTATGAAGATTACTTCAGGAAATTGTGTCCATTCAACGTTTTCATTGTTACCAAGGTGGTTGATAGGGACGCTGCTATCGATATTATTTCTGTTATGTTGTGTAACTGTTTAATGGTGTTATATTTATTGCTACCCCCTTCCCCGTCAATTTATAGTGTTGGTCCACAGCACAAACGTATTAGTTTAACAAAATCCGCATCTAAAATTGTGGCATAGATACGTTATTTCCCCCTGTGCAATTATCCAACCCAGTCTCACATCTCACATCACATCATCATAAACAAATACCAGAAACAGACCGAAAACATTTTTTTAAAATAAAATAATACTTTATTCCGAGTGTGCTTGCTTTTCTCTTTGGGGGTCATCACATAACGGCATTGTGATACACGGTTCGGCTGTATTAAATATTACATATCTGCCGTAGTTCTCTATTTATAGAGCCCTGATGAGAAGACTTCTAGACAAACATGAGGAACTGCCGCCAACACTGAAAACGTGACGTGGATCATAAATATATCAGCAATTAAACAACATCTTACATTTATTTTCACACAATACGTCTCCTTGCAGTATCAACACTAATTCGGCTGACTTTTATATTTGATCCAATTGGTAGATAGACTGTATTTACACCATAACGGTGCACAGCTGATATAAAGGGACACCTAGTGGTTAAAGCATGTTATTGAATTTCATTATTTTTATTATTAGATATTAATATGATCCCTATAAAGTATATTCATCACTCGTTATTCTCTACTAATAGTTCATTAAAGACTGTATATAATGACTATTTTGCACATCCCTTTCAAGATTTCAAGATTTTCTAAGGTTTATTGACATATCATATTCACAACTATGGTGTAGTTATGCAATGAATGAACAACTTGGGTCACAGGTTCCTCAAAAGTGCATTACAAGACATCTATCAATATGTGTGTATACCTCCAGCAATGTTAACTATGTTGAAGCACTTATTGTAACTGATATTATACATATGTATTATACTCTTATAAGATGTATGTAGATAGTATAAGAAATGTGCAGAATATGACAGTGTAATGGTGGAGGTATACACACATATTGATAGATGTCTTGTAATGCACTGTTGAGGAACCTGCGACCCAAGTTTTTCATCTCCGACCTTGTCAGGTATTGAACAATCAATAAATAAAGAACACAGAATTATTAAATATAAAACACAGAATTTGTGTGATTATACTAAATGATTTACAAATAAACACCACTGCATATTTACAACTGTTACACATGCTGATGTAACGCAAATGTTTCCAACTCGGGATCAATAAAGTATATCTTATCTTAAGATGATCGATGGCTACTGCCATATTTGCAAAATGTGCCTCCGAACCTTGACAAGTGCATGTTTCAGGCTTATCAATGAACAACAGGAGGGGTCACAGACATAAGACCAGCTGTTAAATAAAGCTCTTCTGACCTTAGCTGGCATGTGGGTAATGCTGCCCATTATGGACACAAGCAATTTTCACCCATTTATTAAATATATGTTTTAAATTTGAGTGTTCCTATCCCCTAAACCTCCAGGGATGTACACAGTTTAATACTGGCAACTTCTTATTATGGGAAATACGAAAACGTCTTTTAAAACTACAACTCCCAGTAGAGACGTGCCATAGATAGAGAACATGTTGCGAAACAGAATAGCCAGCATTTGTAGTTCTGGGGACGGGGTGGGGGAGGGGGGACGGGGTGGACCCGTTCAAATCCAGTTTTGGACAGTCTGCCGTGGTTCCATCCCATTTCAAATTGTTGTTCGACGCTCGGCATAACCCTCGGAGCACACACAAACATCCAATCACAGAGCTTGAGGACTATCACGGGGTTTGTCAAGCGAAGCGGAGAGAATACTTACTTCCGGGTGTAATATTCTCTAAAGCAAATGAGCTGCTCCGACCCTTGGTCCTGACGGACTTCAACTTGTGTTTATTAATCAAACAAATAAATAAACACAAGGATAATTATGTGTTATTGTTGAGTAAATGGATAATTGCACAGGGGAAAATAACGTATCTATGCCACAATTTTAGATGCGGATTTTGTTAAACTAATACGTTTGCGCTGTGGACCAACACTATACATTGACGGGGAAGGGGGTAGCAATAAAGATAACACCATTAAACAGTTACACAACATAACAGAAATAATATCGATAGCAGCGTCCCTAGCAACCATGAAAACGTTGAATGGACACAATTTCCTGAAGTAATCTTCGTAATAACTAGCAAACTAAAGATCATGTACATCCAGTGGTGTAGTCTACTTTTTTGTAGTGGGTATACTGTAATAATTGTATTCATCCATCCTAGAGCGACGCATCGCGGAGCGACACCTGTCTCGAAGCAACACCTCATGAACACCATCACACTCACTAATGCATAACTAGTCTTGAGACTGGTTATGTGTTATCAACATGTCAATGTATTATAAGCTTTTTTATGTGACTTTTAACTGCCAGTGACATTAACAATACAAAAATAAAAGAATGAACAATGATGGAAAAAGCCCACTTATCTTCTAGGGTTGAACAATTAATCGACATTTTCATCAAAATCTCAATATGGCCTACTGCAATTTTCAAGTAATATACAATAAATATGGTCATGCTACAGATGTCCTGGCCCACACATCATATTCTACACTTAAAAAAACATCTTTGTTTCGCATAGATCTCCACAAATATTACACAATAATCATTTAAAACATATTTTTCAATGCATTAGATATTTATTCAAACTTGTTCAGCCCTATTATCTTCAATAAATCATTGTCAAACTATGTACTGTATCAGCTTAAATGAACAAGCAAACATCCTTGAAGTGCTACAAGACAAATTAGCTTCAAACAAGAAACAAATTAACAAATAAGCTTCACCTCAATAAATGAGGGTTGAAAAAGCACTCAACATGTCCATACTGGGTTCACTGTGTTAGTCCACAAGCCCTGCAGATATAGCCTCGTCAATGAGAACAGACAACTTGCTTGAAGACGTCACAATACTGTGAACTTTTTTTTTCTGCATCATCTTTTGCTATGTGTTCTACAGTTTTGTGGAACTGTACCTTGAGTGCAGACTAGTGCCCATGTTGACACCAGTTTTTTCCTGAAGCTCAATGAGACTATCATGGTCAGTAAAAGGTTGGTTCATCTTCGCAAGATATTATGCTGTTCTGAATACAGAATCTGTCTCTGCAAACACAGTCTCTGACACAGCTCTCACCACATTTCCAACTAAATCCTGTCCACCCTTCTCCGTGAGCTCCTGGGCTATTTTGTGTGCTCTGGACATCTCATGTTGTCTAATCTTGTTTCTCAAAGAGGCCAGAGATGTTGATCTGCTTGAATCTGAGGACTGGATCTTAAAGTGCACCCACTCCTCAGACAGACACTCGTTGTTCTGTTAGGACACCGGTTGATTTTGTAGCGCTGCAAAGAGCACAACCTGGAAATAAACAAAACCATGACTAATTAGCATAATACACGTTTTTACCAATTACATCTGCAGAAAAGAACCAAGATTTACTCAAAAGTATTTAATAAACTGCTTACAATATTTAGATCATGGCTAACAAATGCATGAAAATCAGATAAAAGGATGTTCCACTTTTCAATAGCTAATTATTTGACAACTACTGATAACTAACATATAGTAATGTAATGGTGCAAATGTTTTAAATGCACTTTTAACATGACCATGAATTAACTCATTTGCATAGTCATTAACTTTATACATTTATATTGTTTAGATCAGCTTTCCTTTGCATGTGTGCTGACATTTACCTAACTTTATGTCCCTCCACTCTAACCAAGGATGCCTGTTCTTAAATTCCATCGCCTGACTTTCAGTCCACAAGGCTGGTCAAGAGCTCTCATCTGTGTCCGAAACAAGGAGATAATACACACACACACACACACACACACACACACACACACACACACACACACACACACACACACACACACAGTATCTCGCTCCCTTTCTCTTCCATTGATCCACCACACTAACGTTGATCAAGTTAGCTAGCAAGTTAGCTACAGTTACGTTAATGATAACCATGCTAATTTCACTTACCGGGTACATTTGCGGTAGCGCCGGGCTCGTTCTCTGTCACCTTTAGGACAGCCGCCTGACCTGGCTCTTCTTCTGTAGTGGTAATAGGGGAAAACTTCGGAAAACATTGAAATATTGTCGTCTGTTTTCGTTTCATGTTTGCTTCCTGTTTAGCGCTCCGCGAACTTGAATGGTGGATGGATCAAATTCTGATAACGTTAGAGAAACGTGGGGTTTGTCAGAGCCGAACAAAGTGTGTTGCTGTTGCTTCGCAACAGGCCACAGGCGATGGAAGCCCCAGACGTCCAAAAGTATTAACACAGAAGAGGCGAAAGTGTGAAAGCGCAGTCACAAAATGATGTTGTTACGTATCATCGCTCATTTTTAAGAGGGTATACGGAAATCACTGGCATTTTCTAGTGGGTATACGGCGTATACCAGCGTATCACGTAGACTACACCACTGTGTACATCCACTGCACACATAATCTGAAATAACAACTCATATTTCTCGCATCAAATGACATCAAAACGCATTTTAATGGCCAAACTAACCTTAAAATAGGCATTTTCCACCGAGAATAAAACGAATGTCGGCCATGTTTTTTCTTCTTCTGCAGGGTGAAATTTGAAGATCACGTGACATAGGAATGAATGGTGAAAAAAAACTTAGGGATCTTACAATTTCAGAGGCGTTTTTGTAGAAATACTACGTCCCAAGTTGTGGACCAACGTAGTTATTACACATTTTTTTGTGAGACTGGGTTGGGCAAACAGATGTTCCTGATTTGAGAAAGAGCTTTGTTTATGCTTACTTATGAAGGCAGCATTAGAGACGGACTGTGTTAGTTTGCAATTCCCCAAATGTCAGGCATCAGTGACAAGACAAAGGAAAACAGTTGACAGGAATGAATGAAGGGCTGCTAATGGTCATCACTGGTGGACCTGCAGACCCCTCAAACAGTGTTGTTTTTGGAGGGGGGGGGGGTTGTTCATGAGGTGTTGGAGGTTAGAGAGATGGACTCAATGAGGGATGATGGTCCCTCTTCATGAAGAGAAGTGCTGAGATGCGCCACCCACCCACCTTCTCCCCCACCTCCTGGCTGGACCCCAGGTGTGCAGCAGCTGAAGCACAGGGTCTCCCCCCCCTCCCCCTGTCCACAGCTCAATACACCATTAGCCTCTGCAGCTGACCTGACCAGGGCACACCTCCCTGTCTACTTCCCAGCGTAAATACAAGCAGTAGTTTAGTTTTAGAGTAGCTGTTTTGGTAAGAACACTGTAGCATTATAAAAGAGACATACGCACACGGACTATTGGTGCAAGCAAAACACTCATTTGCAATGCCTGTCCACAGGGAGCGTTCACAAATATATTCACACAACACATCCACAAATATATCCACAGAGAGACATACACGATAATAGGTCCATACCACAAACACATACACAACATTACCCCCACAAATACATGCACAGATAGTCAGTGTCTGCTGGGGACTGGGTGTGAGAACAATGCTGTTTCTGTGGGCCATGCTTCAACACCTCTATTAATACCATGAACATTGCGTTGCCTAAAAGGAACATGTTTAACAATAAAGCAGTGGATACATTGTTACATTCTATGAATGGGAAAGCTATTATTTTAGGGTCTGTCATTTCTAAATGTTTACCAATCATTTCATGATATTTCCTAAAAATAACTATACTGCGATTTATTTAAAATAGAGGTCCATGGGTTCACTTCAGATGTATTATCTCCAGTTAATTGCTAGCACAACCCAAACATCGTCAAACCATTTAAAAAGCTTTCAGTGAAATATAATAACTCTCACTGAGTAACTGATCACAGATATCCTGCCACATACACTTGACAATAAATACCTCCTACATTAATCCTTACTCTTTCAAATGAACACATGAAAATACAGTTCTTGCAAACATGTCTACTGTACATGCATCACTATGTAACACTTGGGCTTCTATTTGCTTGCACTCTAACACATTGTTCTTGATAAGGGCGGGTCATCTCTAAGCGGTTGACCTATCACAACAGAGCCGCCCAGCTAACCAATCAGAGCAGACTGGGCTCTGGTTTCAGACAGAGGGTGAATAGAGGTGCTGCAGCACAGGCAGTGTGAGAACAATAAAGAGCTGTTTGAACATTAAAGCATGGAGACATGTCACAGTAGAGACACTACATACTAATGTCCCTTGTATGCTATAGCTGAATATCAGAGGAAGTGTAATTGATTAAATAAACTGGAAAAAGTTAAATGAGTAGCTGGCAGCTCTTGGACTCGTTCTGCACCACCCACTGTTTGACATTTGCAAGAACAAAGCAAAACATTCACTGAGACTCGGCCTTGAATTGGCATTGGCTGAATAATTGCACAGATGGGCGAATATTGTTATATACTTTTAAAAGTCCCTATTAAGACCCTTCCCCCAACCCCCAAGGTATATTTTCAGATCTGGGCGTCAAACTTAATCCATCTTCAGTTTGACTAAAGTGAAATGGAAAAGAGTGTATCATGTGTGACCTTGGTATATGATATCAAAGACCCTCCTCCCTCCCCCTCCTGCATAGTAATTCACTGTCAGCACTCCTCACAGATATGAGGTGAAGTCTGTACCTGGTGTGTTCAAATCTCAGCATCACCCTAACGTATCACAGTAACCAAGTAAAAAATCACTAAAGTGCTCATGTGTGCTTCTTTTTAGAGATGACATGACATTCTAGTAGGAAGGAATGACGCTCAGATGGCTGTCTTTGTGTTAGAACACATGTATTCAAGTCTATCCTGCCACTTTACATGGTTCTACCCATTAAGTTTTGATGGGGTTTGTTATGGTGTCTTTTGGTGACATGACATTTCCCTGCTAGGTTAAAGGTCGTTGACCAATGTCTGCAAACAGGCAGATGGTGAACTGTGTTTCAGGGACTCTGCTTCAAGAAATTGATCTTGTCAATATATCTGATGAGCCGCGACACTGACGCCTGGCACTGTGCAGCTCTGAGGAGAAATTATGACATAATCCACTTCATATTACAAATGAATTTTCACTTCAGTTGTAGGTCATTTAGATTATTGTTTGTTATTTAACGAAAAATGTATGATTTCTGAACTGAGTTATGATTTGATCTGCAATTAACAATAAACTGTGAGCATAAAACACATCCCTCCAGAAACCCTTGTAGATATACAATAAAGCAGCACAGGACTAACTCAGAAATAATATCCAAGTGAAAGGTGTGTGAACTTATGGCTAATTAAAACATGATAACATATCAAACTGAAGTGATAGAAATATAGTAATCTGCCACTTTCAAACAAATTACATTTGTTTGAGATCATACAGAGTCATTGAAATACTTTAGATGTTATTAAGTGATACCACTAAACATGTATGGTCAGGGAGGGTCAGAACATCAGAACATCAGACAACTGCAGGACAGCAAACCCCCAATTGAACAGAAAACCGAGACTACACACACTCTGGAATAATAAGGCAGAAAAAGGTACGTGATGTCAGTTTTTACGAGTGTGTGCATGCATCTGTGTGTGAGTGATGAGCTGTGTGTGTGTGTCAACGTCCCTGCTGTGACTATACAACCAGCACAGCCCCTAGTTGACCCCCCCCCCCCACACACACACACACACACACACACTCACACACACACACACACACACACACACACACACACCACACACACACACACACACACACACACACACACACACACACACTACAACACAGACTATATCACCCCTTGCTGCTAAATACCAACAAACTATGTGCAATATATATAGATGCCGTTAATAACTGTGTAATATATACCTGGCTGCTAAATCCTAAGAACTGTTACAGGATGTGTATTTTGAAAATTATGTAACTTTTTATTTTGTATTATATTTTGTATATAACTTAGTACTTTTTTTTAATGCATGTCACATATTTAACATATGTAACATTAAGCTGTCTGTGGCAAATGTCCCCTCCGTGGGACTAATAAAGGTATTCTGATTCTGAGCCTAATTAAAAGGCACTGGGTGCAGAGGGGCAGCTTTGGCGCCCACCGACTCCCTTTATATCCCTGCTCTCTGCTCTGCCTTTGATTACCATGGAGCACTAATGCCCCTCAATCTCTGCTGCACATGTGACCCCTCACTGTCTGAGAGCACCTCTCCCCCCGGCTTTATCTCACAGCTCAGGGCAGGAAAGTCCTATTTCGTTTTTTTCTCAAGCTGAAACGAAATTTGATGAAACACTTTTTGTGTTAGTGAGTGTTAGGATATGTTAAAAAAGTTGTATACGTTAATTTGTCTCCAAAAGGATTTACAAATTCTGGTGATGTATCCTGAAAAAAGGTCTGAAAGTGTGGAGTTGAAGAGAAGTGAGTTCAACCATAGCTCCAGTCTTGCTCCAGAAAAACAGTTTGAAATCACTCAAACATCCTTCATCACTCAAACAAACAGCTTAGATAAAAGGTCAAATAAAATGAGCGATTAACATAAAATATAGGCAAGCACATTTGTAAAAAGTACACATCCATTTCAAAGAAAATAAAAAACAAAAAAAGAATACTAGCAATATATATGTTTTTTTTAAACTTTTTTTAGCAACTCTTAAAAAAGATCAAAAAAGGCACATCAATGGTCACGTAGTGAACATTGAAAAGTCAAATAAATACTGGAAACATTTTGAGAAAGCGAAATGTATGTGTGAAATATTTTCCAAACATCATTATAAAGGTATGTGGACATATACAGAGGTAGCAGTGAGTATAAAGAATAATAAAGTACAGGAGGGTATATTTCACATGAGCAGTATTTACAGTTACAGGCAGAGGTCTTTTTGACTATGCTAATGATCTGTTTACTCGACTGAGGAAAGGCAGCTTCCAATAACAACCTCTGCCACTATGCACAAAAAACACACTGTGGCCAATTTGAGTTTCTCCCAGTGTGGAGTAAGGGAGGTAATCCCCTGCTGTAATTGCATTCTGGGAGGTTTCTGAGAGGCTGGATACACCACTGAAGCCACTTAGCGGTGAAAGATGCGTCTCAGGTCTCTCCAAGGTCTGTGCTCGACAACATGTCTCTCAATTCCTTAATCTCTCTATTCCCAAACAAGATGGTTAAAACATGCATCAGGCCTGGTTATTAGGGGCCCCTGTGATGCACCTCTTCATTTGACATCACTTGAAATGAGCAGCCGAGTTGGGAACAGACACATGGAAATGACTTAAGGAGAGAAATGGAGAAGAGCTGTGGAGGGAAATT